TCCCTGAGCTGTTGGCTTGAAGAAACTGAGCAGTTTAGTTGGATAACACAGAACTAATGTCTGAAAATAAGCTGCTTTAAAGTCACCATCAAACATGAACTAAATCTGCCATAATGCAGCTACTGACTAGAAACTCATCAGTGAGTAAAACTTTATTTGTTTTACTTTTAATAATATTTCTGATAAGTCAGTTATACAATTAGTTCTTATCAGTGTTTAAAAGAAGACATGTCTGTTTTGACTAAAAACTGTTTAGTCAAAGTTAAACATGAAACATCAAAGTTCATTACAACTGGCCCTTCAAGGGCCACCATAACGCTCATGTGGCCCTCGATGAAAATGAATTTGACACCCCTGCCCTAAAATGTACTATTATTGTTTTATTTTTATTTAACCCCCTCAGTCACTTTAACTTTTTATCACATTTATATGATCTTCTTTGCTTTTTATTCTATTATGGGCAGCGCAGTGGGATGACCCCACAATTTCGTCGCACTTTTGTACAAAGTATGACTGTGCAATGACAATAAATCTTATCTTATCTTATCTTATCTTATCTTATCTTATCTTATCTTCTTTACCTGCTTCATCCTTTCTGGGTCACAGGGATTGTTAGTGTCCATGTCCAGTTGTCACTGTGAGAGGTGGGAGACATCCTAGACAGGAACAATTTAACCAGTTTAACATTTTTAAGTCTGTGGCAGCCCCCTGTACGCGCAGGGAGAACATGTACAGTGGTGTGAAAAACTCCAGACATTAACAGATGAAAAACAGATTGATATAAACTGTACTGGCCCCGCCCACAGCTGCAGCTTGTTTTTGATCGTGTTTTATGTGACCTTTCACTTACATTCACTAACTGGTTTTACAGACAGACCAGCTTCTGTTCAAACTGTCAGCTCTGCAGAAGGTCAGAGCACTGAGGCCAGTATCTATTTTTAATGCTGAGAAATGACAATCAGAGGCTGAAATCTGTACAAACTTAAAGAATCAACATTTATAATGTGTGTGTGTGTGTGTGCACATGGTTGTTGTGTTGTGTGACTGTGTTAGCTCTGCAATGCAAACTCTTCCAGCTCCCAGTGTCTTCACAGCCCTTGAACGTTTCCATTGGAGTCGTGTAGGAACGCTGCAAACAGGTGGCGGAAGCTGCTCTGATCAGATCAGCACAAAACTGAGCTCTTCGGTCTAAATGTAAAACAGTGAGTGGCAGAAAACTAACTGTACATCACATCCCTGCTGTGGAGCACGGTGGTGGCAGCATCATGCTGTGGGGAGGCTGTGCTGCAGCAGGAACAGGGAAGCTGCTCAGAGATGATGGGAGAATGGATGGAGATGAACACGGGACAGTCCTGGAAGAAAAACTGAAACGACCTGAACCATCCAGTCTGAGCAATGGGTCATGTTCATGTCAGTCTTTCACAAGCTCACTTACGCATGACTTCATCTCAGTTATTTGACCTTTTAATACACCAGCCACCATAACATTATGACCACTGAGTAAACCCTAGTTTAAAGGGGATCTATCATGCAAAATTCACTTTTTAAAGGTTTTTTACTCAACTTTGGGTATGTACTTCTTAAAAAACAGTCCTAGGACCAAAAAAAAAAAAGCACCCAGGGGCATATTTACTGTAAGTAAATGTATTTTTAATGTATATTAAC